TCTCCTTCACAGGCGTGTCGGCCAACGTGCTTAGCCCAGGCATCGTCCGGACGGAGATCCTGCGCCACTACGGCCGGGCCAGCCGCATGCTCTACTGGCTCTGCAGCCCCTTCATGAGGGTGAGTCGGGCTGTCAGGCAGCAGCAGATCTTGCTGTGAGGAACTGGGGTGGGGGAGGTTTTGGGAATTGCTCGGGGCTGGGTGGGAGTTGGGGGGGAATTGGAGCTCCTTGCAGCACAGGTGAGAGCTCTCTGACGGCTGTTCAGGTAGCCTGCTCAACGGGGCCCCGGTGGCAGGGCTGGGCTGCTGGTGGGTTCGCTGGGGTTCTGGAGAGCCCCTAGCTAAGATTCTGTGCAGTTCAGAGAACCACCAAATCCCATTCCTGGATGGCCCTACCCACCCCTCCCCTCCCAGAAGTCGCCACGTGACCCGTTTTGGATGCCAGGTAAGTGCAGGGTGCGCGCAGAGGCTTGGAAAGGGTGAAAAACGGGCCTCCCGGAAGTTTGTAAAGAATAGAATAAAGTAGAGTAGAGTAGAGTAGAGTAGAATAGAATAGAATAGAATAGAATATAGAACAGAATAGATATTGGAAGGAATAGAATAGAACAGAACAGAACAGAATAGATATTGGAAGGGATAGAATAGAATAGAATAGAATAGAATAGAATAGAATAGAATAGAATAGAATTCTTTATTGGCCAAGTGTGATTGACACACAAGGAATTCATTTTGGTGTAAATGCTCTCAGTATATATAAAAGAAAAGATACGTTTGTCCAGGGTCAAGAATCATCACGTACAACAATAATAGTCATAGGGTACAATAAGCAATCAAATACCCTGTTTCTCCAACAATACGGCCTCCCCCAATAGGAAGTCCCAGCATGTTTTATAGGCATGAAATGAAATTAAGCCCCTCCCCCCAAATTAAGGCCTATATCAAAACATGAGAAATGGGGGGGAATGGTGGAGGGGGGCTTGCCGTTAGGAAGTACTTTTGTTGCACACCCGGATATGGTGCTGTCTGCATTGACCCCAATATGAAGTGCCCCACCAATGCCGAGGTCAACATCCAAACCATCGCTGCCCGCCCGCCCGAAGATGCAAGGGGCGGGTGGAATTAAGTCACCCCCGAAAAGACGGCCTAGCTATTTTTTCGGGGCTCAGAAAAACATAAGACCTAGCCTTATTATATGAGAAACACGGTACTAGGAAACAGTCCATATAAATCGTTAGGATACAAGCGACAAAGTTACAGTCCTGCAATCACAAGTGGGAGTGGATGAGTGATAAGGAGTAGTGAGAAGATTAACAGTAATAATAGTGCAGACTTTGTAAATAGTTGGACGGTGTTGAGGGAATTATTTCTTGAGCAGAGTGATGGCTTTCGGGAAGGCCGGAAATGGGCCCGTTTGCAGCTTCCAGAGAGCCCCTGGAGCCCAGGGGAGGCCATTTTTGCCCTCCTGGAGGCTCAGGGAAAGCCTCCGGAGCCCAGGGCGGGCAAAAATGCCCCCTCCCCCTGGCTGTGGTGCAGGAGGCTGACTAGGCCACGCTCACCATGGCCATGCCCACCCAGCAACCGGGCAGAGAACCCATTGCTAAAGTTTTTGAAGGCCACCCCTGTCCCGAGGACGGACCCTCGCTCCTCAGGAAGACTTTTGGCAGCTGGGCCCCTTTCTCTACCTCCCCTTCCCCCCACAAAGCTTGCTCTGAGGGGCTCTCCCTGCTTTCTCCCCAGAGCCCCCAAAAGGGAGCCACCAGCACGCTCTACTGCGCCATCTCCCCAGAGGTGGAGGGGATTTCGGGCAAGTATTTTGACAGCAACTGCACTCTGGTGCTGCCTCAAGCCCTCGCGCAGGACCCAGACCTGGGCCAGAGGCTGTGGGAGGCGCTGGAGAAGGCCACGGGCCTCAAGACGGACGGAAGCCAGCAGGCGGTCTCTGGCCCTCTGCCAAGGGGATGTTTGGGGGCGTCTCCCTCTTTTCTGGCTGGGGGAACAGAAAAGCTGCTGCTCAGCAACGCGGATCTGACGCCCTTTCCAAGAACTCTTCTCTGCAAAGTTGCCAAGAACCACGGCCAGGAAAGCAAAATTCACCCTGGATTTTCTCTCATCCTGTGAATGAAGGACTTTGAGGACTGCCGGGGTGGGGCTGGGCGGGGGGGCTCCAGGGCTCTGTTGGAGTTTGTGGGGCTGGGGTCTGCTTTGGGACTTTCTTTTTCCCGGGCTGTTTGCATGACGGATTAAATTTCTTGGAAAGCTGGCCGGAACCTCTCACCTCACCTGATGGTTTTTCTCTGGAGCTGAGGCTCCTCTCAACTTCCCCCCCTCCCTCTCTCCCTCCCTCCCTCCCTCTCACCAGCAATGCCTTTTTCTCTGCTACCCTGGTTCTGCTGTGGGGTTCTAGCCTTTAAACCATGATTATTCCGGTTACAATAACAGAATAACAGAGTTAGAAGGGACCTTGGAGATCTTCTAGTCCAACCCCCTGCTCAGGCAGGAACCCCTATACCGTTTCAGACAAGTGGCTGTCCGATCTCTCCTTGAAAACTTCCAGTGTTGGAGCATTCAGTTTCTGGAGGCAAGTTGTTCAACCGATTGATTTGTTTAGATGAGGGCAACTTTCATTTGCTCCCTTTCCACACAGCGACTGTTCATCGAAAGTCTAATTTCGAAGGGGGGAATAGTGACTTGTGGATCTTCTTACTGAAATAGAATAACCAAGTTTGTTTCACGCTCTAATTCAGGGGTCCCCAAACTTGGGAACTTGTGGACTTCAACTCCCAGAATTCTCCAGCCAGTTATGCCGGTTGGAGAATTCTGGGAGTTGAAGTCCACTAGTCTTAAAAGTTGCCAAGTTTGGAAACCTCTGCTCTAATTCACAGTGAGAGTCTATGAGCTGCGTGGAAAGCAATTATCCGGTGAAGATCCTTTTTATTTCCCTCGTGAGCCCCGTTTGAACCAGTCATTTTGGGTGACTGGATGCCCTCAACATGCCCCATAAATAGCCCCACCTGCTTGGGGATGGGGGGAGCTCAGCCTTGCAGAGACCAGGCTGAGGGCCATTCTCTGTCTGCAGAGACCCCCCTCCCCAGGTGGGTCACTCATCCATGAAGTCCCAGCGGTCACTCAAAGGCGGCCCAAAGTCCTGTCAAGGGTGGACTCCCTTTTGCCTCATCGCGGTGGGGATGAAGCACCGGAAAGGAGACCCAAGGCTGGGACACATGGACTTTGTGGCCTTTGGATAGATACCCAAAGCCAAAGAACAAGGCAGAGAATGGAGGCTCTTGATGGACGCAGCTCCGTGACCCTCACGGCTCTAATGTCTCTTTTTAAAGCAAAGCAAAATGGAGATCAGAGCTTCTTAAAAAAAAAAAAAAAAGATAGGGCCTTAGCAGCAACCCCAAAGCTTTCCTTGGAAAAGTTCCCCCTCTCCAAGGGACAGGTAGCTTTTTCCTAAGCAGAGCACAAGGCCTCTTTGGCCTGAATGCCGTTAAGAGTCTCGGGGGGGGGGGGGGGATGGCCAGGGAATTCTGGGAGTTGAAGTCCGCCCTGAGTCCACTGGCAGAGCAGCTCTAATTTCCTTCGGATAAATCTTTTCCAGGCCACGGACAGCATTTCAAAAGATGGCCTGTGGGATTCTCCCCATGAAAGGCAACCCTTCTTTCAGGGTTACTTTGGCTTACGGCTGGAGGTTCCAGAGAAATCTTAAAACTCCTTTGTCGATAAATCCTTCACTGATTATAATTCTTCTGGTGTCACTTCTTTTAGCGCTTTTGGGGGTCCAGGAGGCAAATGTCTAAGTTAGCCAGCAACTGCAGTGAAATGCCAAGAGTGAAAACCAAAGCTCCTGCAGTGGTGTAAATAGGTTATTAGGGTCAGAATGAATGAAGTAAATGGGCATAATAAGCCTGGTGGGTTCTCTTCTGCCCCCCCCCACTTCTGCCCCCCGGCCTCTTGTACCTTGGTCCACGGACTTTGAAAATGCCACAGCTGCCAAGTGCAACTGCATGCAACAGCAGCCTCTTCCAGCGCCAGAGGTGACCAAGAGGATAGCTTGGCAGGTAATCTTCAAGGGCAGACAAGCCTATTCTTAATTTTAAAAACCCACAAGGGCAGGGATCCGACCGAGTGGCAAAGACTCCGGTCCATCTTTTGGAGACCCCCCCAGGTGGGGGAAGAGCCCCCCCCACTTCCTGAGAGAGCGAGCAAGGAAGGGGCGCGTGCCTGGGCGACCAACTCCGTTTCTAGGCAGGGTTTTTCTGCCTGGAAACCCCCTTCTCAGCTGGAAGTCAGTTTTTCCTGGTGCCCTCTCACTCTCCTTTCCAATTCCGAGGAACGGACAGGCTGAGGTCCTTCATAACACACAGTTGTAAAGTTGGACGTTGTCTGCCAGTCATCCATCTTGTTCTTGTGTCGGAAAAAATGGGCGGGGGGGGGGAGATTGAATCTAAAACTCAATACTTATAAGTTTTAATAAGCAAGTCTTCTAAATTTAAGACAGTTAATTCAACACACTCTCCTTTTCCTTCCCTTAATTTCCCATTTTTTCTTCTCTTCTTTGTATTTTATACAGTAAAATAAAACCTTGACTTAAAAAAAAAAGAATTAATTCAACGTTATCTGCAACATTATCCTGCATTATCATTCAGGAAAAAAATCCACCAGGTGCCCGGAATCCATCCCCACATCGCAGGAACACAGGCTGCCCCCCACACCCACCCAGGGCATGTGGGCGGGGGGGGAGGGCTGGAATCAAGGTTTCCCCACATATTGCCAGAATAAAATAAGTTAGGTGGCTTGTAGGTTCTACGGCTTTTCTGTAAATGCTGGATTGCACCACCTCTTAATTTTCAATACGCACAAGAAATTAAACCAATCAGCAAGTTAGCCCTATCGATTGAGAGTAGCCTCTGGATGAGATGGGCAAAAACATAAACGCCCTTTTAAATGCTCCTAGTTGTAATTATGAAGTAACCAATAACCTGGAAGTGATGACAAAGAGGGCTTCTAATTTGACCTCTCCGTCCTTTGCGTAATAGCTTCGGAACTGTTCCCCAATCGATCTGGTGTCAAGTTGTTGGTTCCCTATTTCCAGTTTAAGCCAGCCTTGGGAGGAACACCCCCATCACCCTCAGGTTGTTCTGCATCCCTCGGCCTACCCACCTGTGGCAACTGGGAACGCTCCCCATTTGCTCTCTGCTCCGTCAGTGAAACCCGCACCCTGCAGAGAGCTCTGCCAATGTGTGAGAACTGCTTCGTCATTTGACTGCGGAGCACCTGCCCACCCAGGTGAGAGGCTGGACTGGAAATGCCTGGCCCTTGACTGGTTTCTAGGAGGGAGGATGTGAAACAGCAACTCCCACCCCCCTCTGACCGCCTCCCGAGTTGCACCCACAGAGGCCCCACCGCCCCGTCTGGGCCCAGGTGTCGACAGAAGCCAGGCAGACTGTGGGAGAGAATACAAACTTTATTAAGAGGGGCTCCAATACTTTGGCCTCAGTATAAACGAAACCGGACTACCTGGGCCTTCACTCCCACTGGATGTGCAGGTCGAGGCCTTCCCGGCTGACTTTCCGGAGAAGCTCGTCATAGTCGCCCCGGTAGATGTCTGGGCATTTGTCCAAGTGGAGGGAATTCAGCTGGTTGTCGGCGGCCAGGAGCAGGTGGATGGTGCTGATGGAGATCTGGCACTGCAGCAGAGAGAGATAACGGAGGTGCACCAGGGCGGCGCCCCGGGGCTCCAGCACTTTCTCGAACACCTCGTCCAGGCAGAAAGGCAGGTAGCACAGCTCCAGACTCTTCAGGCAGGGGGAGTTCTGGAGGACGGACAGGAGGTTTGCTCTCAACCTTGGAATAGGCTGGGAAGGTGCGGAAGTGTGCAAATGGCAAAGGTTCAAGGTAAACTCGACAAGGTGGGAGAACCTGGGGGGGGTCAAAACAGCATCCTGCTCCAGGGTGGGGCTTCCCTGGCCCCTCAGGGACAGGAAGATGCTGGCACTGAATTTATGGAGGTTTGGGCAGTGATTGAGCACCATGTGGAAAGACAACTCATCCCTGATGTAGAAGCCGTCGACGGAGAGGGACTGCATCTGGGCGCCGAGGATGGCCGCCACCGGCAGAAGCTCTGCCAGATTCCGGGGCCTGCTGCAGTCCAAGGTCAGGTCGGTGAGGGTGTGCCAGGTGTAGAAGGCGGGGCTCAAGGCAGAGCCGTCATCCAGGAGGACGATGGCTTTGGTTAAGTGTGGGCACACGGCACAAACCGTGGGCAAGAAAGTTTCCTCCACCTCCAGGAGCTCCTTGAGGGGCAACGTGAGCCTGGAGCCGGCCTGGTCTGCACGCATGGCCATCCTGCGCCGGGCTAGCTCCTCCAGGGAGGGAAAGCGGGGGTCGATCTGGGCCGCCGCGAACTGCTGCCCGAGGATTTCCTGCAGAGCCTCAGAAACAAACTCGTTTTCTAAGAACCGGAGGCTGGGAAGGGCCAGCAGAACAAAAACCAGGGCCCAGACCAGGTCCCGGCTTTTGCCACTGGGCTCCAAACCGTCAACTGAAAGCACCTGCAGACCCTGGCAAGAGAAGGAGCTGGCCGTGACGTCGTAAACCAGGTGGAAAAGGGAGTCTGCAGACAGCCGTTTGCAGTCGGAGATGTTCAGCTCGCAGAGGTGGCGGCAGGTGGAACCCACGGCCGACAAGACCTGAGTGTTGCACTGGGTGTCCGACAGGTCCAGCTTCTTGAGGGAAGGCAAGCTTTGTATCAGGTCGACCAGAGCGTTGCTGGGGATCCGGCTGCAGCGCTGGAGATACAGCAGGGACAGGTTCTGTCCCAGGGAGGAAAAACGAAAGGTGGGCAGGTCAGCAAGGAAATGCGGCTCTCGGTGTGCACACCCCGGGCTCATCGTGTGGAGCAGCCCCGCTTGGCCTCCCCGGCTGTCTCGACTTTCAGGCAGACATCTTAATTCTCCTGGGACACTTGATTCTTAACTTTTACTGCTGTACCTGTTCCCTGATTTTAATTTGGGTGCCCTTAACAGATTTTAACATTTTAAATAACTTTAAAATTAAAGGTTTCAAAATTATGTCACTAACCTTTTTAATGTTTTAAATTTAACTTGTTAAGAGACTGCTTTAAAATGTTTGCTTTACGCTAGCTGTAGGCAGCTCTGGAAAATCTGTTTTGAAAGATAAGTATGTAAAACCTTAAGTCAGGGACGGGGAATGATGGCCCTTTTGGAATTTGTGGACTTCTAAGTCCCAGAATTCCTGAGCCAGTCAACTCCTAAGTCCTAAAGGGGCCACAGTTCCCCACCTTTGCCTTATATAAACCATAAGCCTATTTTGCCTTCCCTGAGGCCTTTTCCATCGGTGTTTTCAGAAGCCGCAGGCTGAACTAGGTTACGGCAGGGCAGAACTTTTCATGGTGCAGTGGCCTTGGGATCCTATCTGGCCACAAGGGAATTAGATCGCAACCACAATGTGGCCGCATCTGAAAAACGGCTTCTCTTTCCCAGAAATAACCTTGAAGCCCCTTGAGTGACAGAGGCAGGGGCAGATCTCAGAGCTCCTGGCCCCATCCTGCTTGGATCTCAAGGTGAGAGTTGGCTGGCTCAGGGCTCCCCCTTTCTCCATTCCCTCCCCGATCGGGTTATAATCTTAGATGCCGGGAGGTTGTATGTTGGTATTTTCGCATTTTAATCCCCCGTACGGTGCCGAGAGTGGCCAGGGTCGATGTTGGGATATAAAGCATATATATCAAAAAATAAACCCTGAGTGCCGTTCTGCAGCGCTTCAGGGCAGGCAGGGATCAGCGACTGTGCGCGGTTTCTGCCTGTGTTCTCTGCCCGAGTGCCCTGAGCCACCCGGCTTCAGGGTCAGCCACCTCCAAAGAAGGTGGAGAAGATAGGGGGGACCTGGCAGGGTCGAGAGATATCGCACCTCTCTTCCCTAGCCAGCAAAACCCCCTTTTCCGAAGGCAGCTGAGCGGCGGTCGGAAATGGCCGCCACATAGAAGCGCTCAGCCGGAAAAAGAAAGTGCAGGAGGAGTTATGAAGAAGTGAAAGTGTTTTTTGCTGACCGGGGAAAAGTAACAGCGAAAGTATCCTGGATTTTAAAAGTTGCCAAAAATACATCGTTTCCAGAGATTTACAACCGGCGAATGGAAATTTAAAAGGGAAAGTTTTTCTTTCTTTTCACTCTCCTTCCTAATGTGACAGCGAATAGAACTGCAAGAGAAATCGGAAAACCCGCATTGGAGGTAATTAAATGCTAAAGGGATAAGGATTTCTGAATATTCAAAAAAAAAAAAAACACCTTCTTTGCTGTAAGTGGGAAGGGAGAGGAAAAAAAATTGGAGCAGAATTTGAAAGTAAGGAGGAGATTGGCTAGAACTTCAAAGAGCTATTAAATATTAACAAGACTTCTAAAAGATACATTTTAACTGGAACTTTGTGACTAAACAGTATCCCCAGAAAGAGAAAGGGAAGAAAGAAGAAAGTACTAAAAGAAACAGCATATTTGGATTGTTTGGTGATTTTGGAATTTTTTTGGGAATTACCTTTGATTAAAAGCACTTGGGTGGTTGTTTTGGAAAAACCTTTTCTCTCTACAATCGCATCACTTCTGGATGAATTGAAAACTGAATACCAAAAATACAAAAAAGAAGAACAAGAAGGGAAAGATTCTCTTGGCGCTCTTTTTCAATTTTTAGAAATGGCGGTTTGTACTTATGAAAAGCTGACTGTGCAACAGGGTGATTGGGATAAAGAAGAAGCCATCTTTGATGAACAAGTGATTCTATTTGGGGAAGGAAAGGAGAAAGAGGAAAAGAAAAAGGGGACTTTAAGACTTGAAAAAACAACCCAAAAAGAGAAAAATAAGGTGAAAAATGGATACAATGTTAGAAAACAACAGAAAGGGGGAAAGCAGAAGAAGAAAAGGGAGGTGGAGAGACAAGGGGGTAAAAAGGGCAAGGAGAAGAATAAGCAAGGGAGAATGGAAGGGATGAGAAGCCTCAACGGTGGGGAGCAGGATGTAAAGAAACAAAAATTTTTTAGAGACAATGGGTAAATTTAATTGAAAAAGGGATTCTGTAAAGGTACATTAGATTGCATTCTTATATTTGTATTTAGAAATAATGTTAGAAAATTAGAAACAACATGTAATCAAAAATGGGATAAAATATTTAGTGTAATTTAGTGAAATTTTTGTGAGGAAAAAGAAGGTAATGAAATAAATGAGAGAATTGAAGTAGGAGAAATGGGAATATTTTAATGAAATATGATTTAAAATATGTGATGTGGTGGGGAAATAATTATGGAAAGTATAAGTGTTCCCATAAAAGTATGATATTTAATTGAAAAGTAACGTGTAAAGTATTTAAGATATAAATGAATATTAATATTAATGATTATATCTGTATTGGCATTAATAGCTTTTAATTACATCATATACCTATAATTTCCTTTTTTTTCTTTATAAAAACATTGTATAATTTTAGAGAATAAAATTGTGAATAAAATAAATGAAATGAAATAAATGAGAGAAGTGAATTAGGAAGGAACGGGAACATTTTAATTACTTAATGTTTTATAAAATATAAGTGAAGTGGGGAGGAATTAACTATGGAAAGTTTATAAGTGTTCCCACAGAAGTATGATACTTATCTGAAAAGTAATGTGTAAAATGTTAAGATTTAAATGAATATTAATGATAGAATTGAATTGGTATGGATTGTTGTTTTAATTATATTATACATTTATAATTTTTTCCTTTTTTTAAAATATAGTGGGTAATTTTAGAATGTACCAAACAGAATCCCAATGGAAGTCATGTATTATATTAAGTGTTATAAATTTAGGGGAAAGAGTTAAAGGCGTCATACTCCAATCAGAGTACAGGAGAAATTTTGTTTAAAGAGAAAAGATAAATGGATAGCTGGAAATAGAACAAAGAATAATAAGTATTATGATTTGAATTGAGATGAGATAAATAAAATAAAATTAAGAAAGTTAAAAGAGGTGAGAAGTTATATAGAAAATTGAAAGTGGTAATAAGATATGGAGTGGTATATAAAATGATTATGAATTTGAATTTGTGTCTGTACGAAGAGTTGTAACCCGGGATCAAGCAGCTTTCAGAAAAAATGTTCTATGTTTTTATGTTTTGTTTGTTTGTGTATTGTCTTTGAAAATCAATAAAACTGGTTTAAAAAAA